ACCAGCATAGCCAGAGTCCTCTCAGGTGAGAAATGTTATCGTGCTGATACGCTCAAGTATGTGCTCAGTTACACAGTTATGTATGAAATTGGGAAACAAAAGGAGAGCAGCTTCTAGACAGCCAAGGAAACATTTCAGAGGTTTGTCACTGTCAGATCTTGCAAACTCCGTTGATGAAAAGTGTCAGACCTTTCACTAGCTGTGCACCGAAACATCTACTTTCTGCATGAAGTTCTGGAATGGAAATTTTTGGATCTTTAAACTTGTCCAAAGGCATATTTGCCTGCCTGTTTGTATTTGTCAGTGCATTCCTATTCAACCCTCTTTATTACTCTCCAAAGGGAGAAGTCGGTGTTTGAAGCTTGCCTGGTAGAAAATTGCCTTTGTGCTCTCCCCTGCTTTCTCTGGCATGTTCTGGTGAACATGAAGTTTCCTCCAACCTCAACAGCTAATTCTGAGACTGTATCATCCTCAAAAAGATGGAAGTAAAACTGTCCTTTATCCAGATTCTCATTTTTAAGCTACCTGCCCTGTTGCAGCTTGTCCTGGATCTTTCGCTGTTAAGACACCCCCCCCACACACACAAAAGACCACTCCCCACAACCAACAAACCACCCACAAACACTAAACACAACAGCAAAAACTGTCATGCCTTCTGAGCAGGTGCTTGTTTTCAATACTGTTTTGAATATCTGTTAACATTAGCATAGACAACAAGATGAAACTGATTTTTTGGGAAAAAACATAGTAAAAATGCAAAGATAGACTAATTAGTATAATAAAAATATAATCTTAAATTTAACTTCATTATTTCTTGCTAGGTGACACCTATATACTCTTAAATTAAAAAATACTGTGCTAGAAGAGGGCAGTTATTTTTCTTAAATCTATGGTCTTTATAATTTGTAAGCATGGGACAGGGTTATTTGAAAGACCCAAATATAAAATGAAATTAGAATATGTAATATTTAATTGATAAGTATTTCACAATAGCTACTGAATTAAGGAAAGTTTATAATCTAATATCCTTTTTCAAAAGTTTTATTATGCAATCTGGTTTTAGTAAGTTTAACTGCATGGCCTTTACACCTTAGATGTAGTAGGTCTCATTTTCTTCCATCTGGTCTAACAGATAAAGGGGAGGGGAGAAATTTAGAGGCTTCTCCACTATGAAGTTTGAATAAAGCAAAAAAAAAAAAAGACATTCTCCATTAGTCAGAGCAACTAAACCACCCAGATTTCAGACTCCTGCCTTGAGCTAGGGAAAGGAAGAGTTATGTGATATGAGACACGGAAGATAAGAAAGCAAGAGAGAGGACAGACAAAAAACAGAAGAATCGAAAATGTGTTGCAAAGTATTTGGATCAAGTAATTGTTCACCATTTTAGAAATTCTTTTGCATCACTTTCCCCAGACAGTGAGGACAAAAGGAGGTCTTCATGTGACTCTAAATTTTTATATATATTTATATATTTTCAGGCCAGCTTCTTCTCCGTGGTGCCCAGCAACAGGACAAGAGGCAACGGGCAGAAACTGAACCACAGGAAGTTCCACCTAAACCTGAGGAAAAAACTTCTTCCCTGTGAGGGTGACAGAGCAACGGAACAGGTTGCCCAGAGAGGTAGTGGAGTCTCCTTCGCTGGAGATATTCAAAATCCACCCGTCTGGATGTGATCCTGGGGAATATGCTCTCGAGAACCCTGCTTGAGCAGGGGGGTTGCAGTAGGTCACAGAATCGTTTAGATGATCTCCAGAGGTCCCTTCCAACCTTCTGATTAAAGGCTATGCCCCAATTTATAGTGTTCTGTAGAGGGTTTGTCCAAGCAGGAAAGTCGGTGCAACTGTCATAATGACTTGGGGAAGGAAAAAGGACTATAGGGAAGGGAAAAGAGCAAGTGTGATTATACTTGTTCATTCTCATCTAAGCTGACTATCTACATACAGTTTTTACACCCCATGAGTGATCCACTGAAAGTCATACCATAAAAGAAATGTAGCAGTCATGAAGATAAAAAGTTTGTCCAGGAGCAACCTCAAAAAAAAAAAGTAGAAAGAAACAGAAAAATGTTTCAAAGCACCTGAAATAGAATACCTGCAACAACTGAACATGTTATCTGCAGTTCAGTTTCCAGAGTTTTTAGACACTGGTGCTTAAAATAATTTCATAAATAGCCTTTTTTAACCTCACTTACTTCAGTAGCTCAAAGTCAGATAACAGTAATTCATTCATGTATGGTGCTTAGCTTTAAGATACACCAGTTCATTATTACAAACTTGGCACAATAAAACATGATTTCAACCTAAAAAAAAAAAAAAAGTAGGCTCCAAAGTGGCATCTTGGAATGCTAGCAGTTACAAACATTGAAAGTATACCATTGAAAATATAGGAAAACTTGCTGGCAGAGCATAATGAGACGGGGAAGGAAGAGAGAGAGATTTTGAAGTTAATTACTAAAATAAAAAGAAAACACACATGACCCAAGTTTTTTTTTTTTCTTAAATAGAAAATTTAATACCATTCTTTCTTAAGAGTCAAACAACCCTGTCTAGAACTTCATTATGGAAACTAGATGTATGTTTAATTCCAGGTTTTTAGTCCCTAAATAACATGATTTGTCTCATTTAATTTACATTTTAAGATAGCTTCTGGGTCCTACAAGTCATTCCCAAATACACCTTGACTTATGGAGTGTTTATTTATCATGCTTAAATTGATACAGACTCTTTGCTACACAGTTACAAGAGCAGCAGTTTACAATTTTTAAGTTACAAAAATAGTTATCACTCATTAGTATTTCTATACATATTTCAAGCTATTAAATGCATACTCTGTACAGTGGGTGTCAACAGTGGTTGTTTAATTCATTAAAGTAAAAGAAATTAGAGAATTAAATCACTCACAGTCAGATCCAAAATATTTAGGTGCCATAATATGCTTGCATGTCTGACACTAAATATCCCTATCCACACACCTCAAAAGCAGTTTCAATATCCAAAAGAGATCTGCATCCAGGTTGTAAGACCCTTATGACGGTTTGGTGGAAGAGGACAGTATAAGTATCAGTATGTTACTGCCACCTAATGGTCTGGCACTACACCATCGAGCCCAACTCAGTAACTTCAGCAGATTCCTTACAGATAATTGTTCCTGCCCTACCTACAGACAGAAAAGCAGGTTTATATGACAAAAATCATAGAAGTAGCAGAACAAGCTACCCTTCCTTACCACAGTCACTGACTAAAGATAAAATAGGAGAGTGGCTTCTCCAGTGGACAAATACTAGATGTCTTTGCCACATCCAAACTATTGTTTCCAAGATGTTTTGGTTGTTTGTTTATTTATTTTTATTTTTTGGCCAAAGTCACAAAAACAAATCTAGATTTTTGGGGGTGATCAGGGATAACGCTAACAAGTAGTCTGCTGGTTGAAGAAGTCCACTCTTTAAATACATTGGGTTGCGCTTATTTAATTTCTGTTTCCTTTTCAGAACTAACAGTAAGCCTGGAAGCATTGACAGGGTTGGGGCATTTTGTTAGCGAGACAAGTTAAAAATTTAATTCTTGCAGCAGAATTACTGCTAGTTTTACTCGTCTCCTAACTCTAAAAGTCTAGTCTCACTGACATTAGAAGTTTTACATAGGTGCCTGACTCAGACAATTTACCCTTTTCAAAAGATTCTATCTAGGAAGAGTTGGATGTCCCATTAAATGTAAAAATAACCCCACCATTCCCCTCCCCCCCCCCCCAAAAATCCCCCCCCCCAAAAAATCCCACCCCATCACCACAGCAACAGACATCTTTATGTGCTGAATAAGAAATCACACCACGTTTTTCAGTTTTTAATTATTTGAATCTAGACATCTCTCTCATGCCACTCCAAGCATCCTCTGTTTCACCATTAGGGCACAAGCCTTCAGTCAGATGGCTGCCAACCCTAACAGTTGAATCCAAGACGTAAAGCTTCCATGCTTAGCTAGCTTTATACACCACACACTAAAAAAAGCTCGAGTCATGTTTAAAATGTACTATTATGAAGAGATTTACTCACTCGCAGAACTTGAAGGACAATTTGTTCCACAGTTAACTAGGGCATGTACTTAAATCTGCTAACATAAGGTTGCAAGATGGAACACAACAATGTTAATACTAAGGTCATGCATGCATAAGAAAAGCATCAAGAACTCCAAAGCTGTCCCAAAGAGGAAAAGATACTTACGCTCGTTTTCACACAAGTTTAGGAATTAAGCAACAGCCCACTGAATACCAAGATGAGGAAACAAGTTATATGAATGAGTTTTTAGAGGCTTTACCCCACATCAGAAATTCAAGAGTCTCGGGAATTACACCTTTTGGACAAGGGTTCCCCTTTTAATTTCTCCAAATGGGTGTCTGAAGGTCATATCCTAGGGCTTTTAAGTGTGCCAAGTTTGTTCATTGATGTAATGCATCATAATGAAAATGTAAAAGAATTTTGTTCACCAGGTCAAAATGGCCAAATAGACATCTTTTTTTCCCCTCACTTTCAGTGTTCTATATGAATTTACCTTAATTTTGGAATTTCAGTTATTCTAGATAGTATACATTAAGTTTTGGGTTTTTTGCACCAGTATAGCACACCACCTGGATCACTATTTTAACAGAAAACTAACAGAGCTTCCATTTTAAAGTGCAATAGCTTAGCTACAGAATTGCTAGAAAAATTCAAGTGAAGAGAAGTATACCAGAAATAAATCCCTTACAACACAATAAGACATTAGTATTTGACAGTACATTAAAATTAAGGGGAAGGTGCATATAAAATATTCATCACCTCAGAAGAAACCATAAGAAAGCATTTTATATAGAGAAGAGCAAGTCAGAAGGTAAATGATGGTTCTTCAATTTGACCTTCTGAAGAGAATTTGTATTTATTGATTTACAGTGAAGTAACGCTTGCCTTTATTTTTACCTTAATTTAAACAAAAAATGTGAAATAACTACGGGTCTATCACTGTATCTATCAGTTCTCATACTTGTTTACAAGCTATATTCACTTCCTGTGCCCCCTTAGCATAATGTTTTCAAGCTCAGTCACAAAAAAAAAAAAAAAAAACAAACCACAATTTCAAGTTAAGTATTTTAGCAGATGCCTTAATTCTTACATGAGGAAATGGTAAATAAGAATTAGTCGTTAAGTTAATCAAACTCTTGCCTTGTTTGGTTAGTCACAAGCTGACTGTTTTGCAAGGAAAAGCTCACACAAACAGAACTGTAAGCCTTTGTTTCTCCTGTAACTAATTTGAGGATTCATCAATAGGATCTTTACTCCTGCCTTCATTTTTCAGGTGAGAGCTCTTAGCCATTCAGCAAGTCTACCACAAATTAATGTCAAAGTTCACATCCATTCGATTATCCTGCATAATAACAGACACTGAAAAAATAGTACTTGTATCATTTGTTCCACACACATGGAAAGAATAATTCACTCAAAAGTCCTGTTTTCAAATTAGCCAACACCAAGCATTTTATGGCAATCTAAGACTCCTAGATTTAAGTATGCCTTTTGCTCAACACGTTGGCCAAACTTCCAAAGGTCACTTTCAGTCTCACAACACTGCATGAGCAATGCAAAATCCTCCCACACACCTGTTTAAGCAGCATTCAGTACTCCCTGAAAAACCTATGCCATTTTGCCATTCCAGTTATTTTAGATTGTTCATTCCTTTGAAGAAAATCTTTGTTTAAACTTATACAAAATATCTGTCTACAATTGTTTTCCTACAATAAAAACAATTTGAAGTTTAAACATTCAGGTCTACAGAAAAACCCCACACCACTTACCGGTTGACTTCAGATCCGACATGGTCTAAACTAGAATTCTCTCCCTACCCTCCAACGTAAGTGAAACTTATGTCAGTTAATTTAGTAGATTTTACCTCTCCGCTTCTTATCGGCTCCTCATTATTTCAATCTTTAGTTATCCGGTAGGTCCTTTCAGACCATCGGATAAGCCCTGCATGTGCTTCATCAGCCACTGAACTGAACCTACACTCCAGGAAGTTTAGAAAGTCAGTTGTAAACTACTATTCTTCCTTATGATCATAAGCCAACAAAGAACATTTAATTTTACGTGCCAAGAATAAGTTTTAGAATGTTACTGCAGCGAGTAGTTACAGAAACAAACAAACTAAACCCCAGCTATTTCAGTACCATAAGTTCTCCAAAGCTATACGCTAACATTTTCATCTTCTCAGTGAAACTCAAAGCTAATTGTTTAGATTCCAATATGCAGAGACAGATTTTTGTTAGAAGTTCAGAATTTTTTTCACAGTAGTTAGATACAAAGAGCCCGGGCTTTTTGTTTGGTTGGTTTTTTTTGTAAATCAGTCTGATGTGATGGATAAGGTTTTTCTTTTTTAAATTAGGTTCATCTGAAAAAAAATTGTTGAGGACGAGTAATATAGATGCATACCTTCACTGAAGTACTGGAGCCTAAGAGACTGTTAGATGCAAGAAGTTACTCAGCAGCCTTTTTCTTAGTGTTTATTGCCAATTAATTTTATACAGCTTATTTCAAGGAGATAGGCAGCATAAAAACTGCAACATCTGTTTAAAAAGAATATTATCCATTAGTCTCAATCCTCTCTTCTTACAGATGCATCTTACCTAATTTAGAAATAAAATAGTCCTAGCCTACTTCATTAAAACATTTTGCACCTAACCCTTAGAACAACAGTCAGCCTCTAGAAATCAAGGAATTTTGGACCTGAAATTTACAGTCACCATGTTTGATCAGAGCCCCAGAAAGTCTCACTGTGCAAACTACCCTAGTGAAACTATTTGTAACAGCTTTTGTTGTCAGTCTCACGATTATATTAGCATTTATTTTTACAGAAAATCTGCTTTATTCTCACTTACGCAGCTTTGCTGTGAACTGTGAGGGCTCAGAAGATTCAGACAAGTACCACTTACTGAGCCTGCACACTAAACACACATAGCGCAACATATCAACACTGACAGGTAGCTTAGATACACAGTGTATTAAAACACTAAAAATGCTGCAAGTTCACCTCAAGCCGCCAAAACTCATGCTCAAACAACTTCCCACTTAGTTCCCAACAACACTCTCTTGAGTTTAACAGCTGTGCTTGGAAGTTGACAAAAAAACCTGGAATGACAGCGTCATAGTCTTTACCCATTCATTTTCTACAGTCTTTAATTTTTCCTTTGTCAGTAGTGATCTGGGGGATTGTTGCCCCTCCTCCCTCCCCCCCCCCCCCCCCTTTTTTTTTTTTTTTAAAAAACCCCACAACTTAAACCTAACATACGTTCTCCTTATAACAACCCAGAGGTAGCAGGAGGGATATGAGCAAAAAAATGTCAGATTCTAGAAGCTGCACATTCAAGTATGCTGTCATCCATGAGAGCTTTGTTGGCTTACATAGCTCACATCACCTCTAATCAAGTATAGCAAACAAGAAGTAGAATCCTGAAACAAAGAACTATTGCCACTGGTGTACTAATAAAAGTTTTATACCCAGTTACCTCAAAGCAATCTTGTTATTTATATAGCAGTATCACAAGCTTCAAGAGCCAAATAGCAAGAACTGAAGTATAAACTTAAGTTTGTGAGTATTTGTTTTTCTAAAATGCTCATTAGTGACACACTTCACCTAAACAGACATACACATACATACATTTACTTTAAACTGATGTACCACACTGTAAGGAAAGGTCCCAGTTCAATTCAAGAATCTGATACTCCCCTTCTCCCTCCCACCGTACAACTTGATAGAAGTGTCTACATGTAATGGAAAGCAAACAGAAGGGGAAACACAATGTTTAACAAGTGCATCTATATACATTTCATACCTTCTCCCTTCTTGCATTCAAAGTGAGCAGATCGCCAGATCTGCTATGCTTCACATGCATATACTTCCCCCTTTACATAGTACCAGTCCTGTTTAAATGATCTCTGGCAGCATCAACAGCAGTCATTCCACATCAGCCAAAAGCTGCTTTTATTGTGGAGGCTGAAGTACATTTAAATATTCCGACTGGCCCAGCTGGTAGGTTGTGTTTCCTCCACAGTCCACATACTGGTATCTCTCTTGGGATATTTGTTCAGAGTGGCCAAAGTAAGATGTTGTCACTGTGACCCTTAAACACAGAACAGAGAAAAACATTTGTTTTGTAAGGTGCTTTGAATTTCCTGTTCTAAAAATCGGCATTTTTATTAGGCTACTATGTTTTTTTTAAGGAGCAAGCTTTGAAATTAAGTATGTAACACCATTACAAACAAAGCTTTAAGTAGCTGCTGCAGAAGTATTTTAAACTCAGCATCCAGTTAAAAAAAAAAAAAAAAAACACCAAACCACACACACAACCACAACAGCAATATCAGTTTGTACCACCTACAGATCTTGTCCATGACAGACATTTGGCCACCTGAGCACAGATTTTTCTAAAGAAAACAGTAAAGCTTCAGCTCAGGTTTACTTATTAACACTTAGCTTTGCAACGGGGAAGCAAGCATTTCCAGAAGCTACAGCCATGGTTTGTCTACACACTGCTGCTGTTCCCCCAGCTGCAAAAAACACAAACAACCCCCGCCCCCCAGTCTGCAATTCATGAATTCAGCCATGAAAAGGAATCTGGTAAAGTACCAGAAGTACCTCTGATGTGCACAAAAAGGCAAACTCATTTTAGAGTATCTGGAGATTTTAACAGCTTCCATGCCACAGCCTAACTGCAGGGCAGATACAGTAATAACGGTTTCACCTGTTCAAGTTCCTTCCCACTAGCAGAATCTGACAAAAGAAAGTTTCTTTACACAGTTCAGTTCCAAGAACTATGAGGCTACTAAGCTAGAAAGTAAGTTGATTTCATATTATCTAGGATACACAGATTAAATATCTATGAGTAAGATTTCAAAATTACATGGTTTTGAAAGTGTCTCCTACAAATAAACTTTCCAATTTCCATACTTACTGCATCATCACTACTATGTTATGCACTTTGATAGATAATAAAGTACAGAAGTCACTGCAAAAAAGAAAACAGTTGTTAGATCCAAAGTACATCTTAACATGTAATAAGCTAAAAACAAGTAATGTTACTTCAAGTGGAAATTCTGCTATCGGGTTAATTTAAAGACTAGAGTTGCTAGTGATGACAACTTGTTGAAAAATACTTCTCATGACTATACTTGTCTAGGTCTACTTTTACACATCTTATTATAATAATGATCACATGCACTTGCTTATATATAATGCTCACCAATAAAAGTGTACTGTGAAACATTTGATTAGCTCCTGAAAGACTGAATAAAAGAAGTTAACCTGAAGAAATGCATTAAAAACACTCCATTATCACTTCTTTGCTGCTGATGAATTTTACTATAAAGATACAAGCATAATTCACTTCGCTATCAAATTCAAATATAGAAAGGAAAGTTTCTGAAAAAAGATCAATATTATGCCAACTTCAGCAACCTTTCATGTAAAAACAAGTTAATTCTATCAAAAAGAAAGTCTTGAATGCTTGTTACTCTTGCTTCAAAAATATCAGGAACTTTGGAAAGACTTTTTTTTGCACTGATCCACTTCCACATTACAGCAAAGTGACCGTTAACCAATCTGCAGAAAGTTCAAACTCAGAGCTCTTGCAAGAGATTCTTTTCAGACTTCTGTTCCTCTAAATGCTACACTTTCTGATATGCAGCTACATACCAGTTGGACACAGAGCGCTACCTAAGTGCACAGTATGTGCTTATTTATTTAAACCTATTGCTCTGGATCACAAATTTATCAGCTCTGGAATGAAAGGCATGTAACAAGTGCAACAAGAGCACAAGTCAGCCACCCCCAAAACATTCATGCCATTGTTCAGCAAAATCAAAAATACAGTCAAGAATTTAGCAGTGAATCAGCACGGGTGACCAGGATTTGTATGAAAATACAAATAAAATGGTACTGTATTAAGAGTTGTTTGACTTATGTCATTATTATACAGAAGTCTAGCAATATATTTGAATCTTTTACTGTTAGGCATGATATAGGACTTAATTGGACCATAATGCGAAACATCCTCAGTTATTGCAATTTTATAATCCAAATATTGATAACTTGCACCATAAGGTAAAGCCAGCTTGAATCCAACAGTACATATTAGCCAACTAGCAGAGAATACTAGCATGCCAGTTTTCAAGTCCAGATTATCTGGAAATTAAGCTGTTTAAAAATAGCACAAAATCATAGCTAGGAAAGTGCATTAAACAAAGGTAAACTGCTGAATAGAATCCGCTCTCCAAAAACAAATGGATGGAAATACCCTGCATGATGCCGATTTCAACATACAGGTAGGCTGGATCTAGATGATGGCATACAGACACCCCAGATCTCTGTAACATCTCCTATGCTTGACCTAAGCTGATTTTACAGGACACTTGCTCTCCAGGATCCAAATAACCATCTGGTTATGCCTAACACAAGGCCTTAGCTAACTAGCTGGGAAAACACTAAAACGCCTGCAGTATTGGGATCCACTTACGACCCAGAATATCAAGATTAATCCAGGGCCTTTCCTCCATATTACTCCAGATACTAGAGAGTTAAATAGTAGTGAGGGGGAAGAAAAAACAAATACAATAACAAATAAACTTTGCCAAGAGTACCAAAGCTATTTCGGCTGGGTATTTAGACTAAAGCAGCTCACTAGCTGTCTGCAGGGTTGTTTACATTGTGAAACCAGGCTTTCAAGACTTTCAAAACAGTAAAAAAGGGCAGAAGCCTGCCAGCAGAGTTAACTGTCAACAGGTCAAGGATGTCAACTAATACCAAGTGTTTAACATGCAAGAAACCTGGAAAAAAAAATAAGAAACAACTAAAGTACTACACAGAATTAAGACAGACACACCAAACACTTTAAACAGATCACAGTTAATGAGTGCTTCTTACAATTACTAGGATCTTACTGTATCATTCTCTACAAGAAAGTAGATCTTCAACTGACATAAATCTCCATAGGTATGGATCTCTTATTACCAGTTTTGTGTGCTTAGTGTCACTTTGCTGAAGGGACAAGTGTTTTCATATGTATACAAGGCATTGTGTATTAATCTGCTTTTCCAGTAATGTTCATGGACACTCTTGCTTTCTTGAAGGAGGCAAAGTCCATATTAACAGACTTCCAGCACAGACAGAGGACAACTTTTCATGACAGCATGATCTACCTCCAAGCTGGACAAGTGAGTACATCATGGCTTCACGCTATTGCCAGGACTGCAGCTCTCAAGCTGACTGGTCTAAAATCCGATCGGTTCAGGTGACAGACACAGCTTTTGCCTGTCTGCATCCCTCTACACATCCAAAGTCATTCCAATTTTATTTAAGGTTAGTGACTAGCTTGCAGTTAAAAGTTTCAGGTATTGTTGGCAACAGACTCACAGCACTACTGCTAACTTTGAGGCCACGGCACAGATCATGAAAGAGGTTTCAATACATTTTTGCACCAAGTGTTGAGAACTATTACCAAGTACGTATCAGTATAAGTTGCGTGAAGCCCTCATTTACTTTTCATATGTCAAAAGGGTGAGCAGGATCGCAGGATGTACTTTTATATAAACCTGACCTACAAGCCATTAGGATGTAATAGAAGTACAGCGCTTCCTTTTTTTTTTTTTTTCTTCTTTTTTTAAAGTTGGCAGCTAGTTTTGTTATTTTATACGTATTCCAATTTATTCCAACACCGCACAACTATAAGGCTCTCTCCTACCCCAAAGGGGCTGGCAGCTGCTGGAACTGCATGCAGATCTTACGTTTCAATAGTTAAAAGTTCAGACTGAATACAGAGAATTCATTTCAGAGTAAGAGAAATGACTCTTGGTTATGTCATCAAGATATACTGAGTGAAGACTCTGTGAGTCAAAACCTTCCAGAAGCTATGAATAAAATAGCTTAAATAAGGGCTTGCTATAAACACTGCTTACCATTGTATACAGTCTGAAGAGAAGATATACAAATAGGCCAATTGCCTCTACCATCAGAAAAGTCTGTAAGAAAGTTGCTAGAGAATTGCATTACAACAACACGCCTGCACTCTTCCTCTGAAGGAGCTGGTGCTAGCTATTGTTGTGGCCTAAAACACTGGGAGACAGTTATCACTCGAAGTATTGAGAGCCAGGTACAGTAAGCCACTATAACAAGCTACTGAAATAACTGTGGCTTAAGTATTTTTCGGTACTATTAAACCCACAACACAGAAGATACCATATTGTCTCTGTAACTACATTTCAGTTGATTTTGCAAAAAAAGTAGTTTTCATTAGCACCATCATTTTTAATACAGGCAATATTTAGAGGCCAGTACACTTACAACATGTAGCTCATTTCATCTTGTATGACTGTAGGCACCATATAGTCAATCTAAAAAAAAAAAAAAAAAAAAAAGAGAAACACCTCAGTAGATTTAGACATACAAGATTAGCATGCACTCAGCTTTGAAAGCCTATCCCTATTTACCTGTTTCATATCCAGCGGGCCAATGTTGGTGATGTTGTTTAGCCGTGCTTTGCCAATAACTGTTTTCGAAAACTGAACTTGGGCTGTGATGTTTGCCACTTCAACTGAATAATAGTTGTTGTTTGTTATATTTAGTGTGTTCTGGGGAAAAAAAAAAACACAACACTTTAAGAGATATCCATTCTGTGTATCGTGGCACGTATACATTTTGAAACTTCGGTGTATGAGACAGTAATTCCTAAAATTACACAACTATATTTTCTTGTCTTCTAGGATTTTTTTTGTTTTTTATTTGTGGGACAGGGAGGGAAGGAAGAGGAAGGCTTCAGAAGAAAATATACTAAATATTTTAGAAGTGAAAAAGATACTGGACCAGCTGCCTCTTGAGAGAGCAACAGCTCAAGTTTTATGTATTTTGCATTTCCCAAGAACAACCATAATGGTATTGGGGTGCAGCCTAGTATTTTGTCTCCAACAGGCGGCTGCAAGCAGGCATATGGAAAAGGGCAAAAATTAAGTGACGCAAATCTTGTTTAACTTCCCCCAAGTACTCTCCCAGCTTCTGTCTTACTCCTAACAGAGAAGACTCCCACCTAAATTTGATGCGATTTGTCTGTTGAAGGGGTACCAAATGCCAACTGCTTGTCCAGTCTCAACTTGAACCTGTGTAAGCTTCTTGCATTAACAACACTCTTTGGTAAAGAGCTCTATGGGTTTCCTATCTACTGCATGAGGAAACAAAAAAAAAAAAAAAAAAAAGCAGCTTTTTGTTCATGTTCCCCTATAGCAGCAATCACAGGAGACAGGAAAAAGACCATGTTATACTCTTCACACCATCCAGAGTTGTTGGGAGCATCAACCACTAACCTTTCCTCTCCCTCAACCCTAATCATTTATTTCCCAAACTGATAGGTCTACTCTATGGAACAGCTGCTGCATGAAGAAAATACTTTCAAGTATTGCTGTTGCCCTCTCTTTAAGCTTTTCTTATTCAGATGAAAGGAATTAAGAGGTGACAGAAGTACAGCAGTTTCTACTTTGAAGCTAGTAGCCAACTTTATTTCATACTTACTCTAATGCTCAAGAGCTACAAGGGTACCTACCTTCCATCCACAGAGCACTACCATTCACTGGCATGATAGTTCCAGGTGAACTCCAGCTCAAGATGTGGGCAAACAGTCTTTATAGGTTGGTGTAATTAAGCTGTTCTGCTATTCTGTTCCTAATGAATTCCCAGCCTTCTGTTAGCTTTTTTTGACTGCTGCCAAGCACAGAGCTAAGGTGCTCATTCAACTACCATAACCTGAATGCCTCTTGCATCTCATATAGGTTGGCCCAGGCACCCACACCACCATTTCCTGTGCATGTAGCTTTACATTTATAATGGATAAGAGCAAGGCAAACAGAATTGAATCTCTCAGTGACATAAAGTCTTTCTGCTATTCTTCATCTAGCCCTTGTCCTTAGTACTCTGAAACTACCTTATCACCTCACCACTCATCCCCTTTCCCAGGTTCGTTTGTGAATACATCGAGCAGCACAGGCTCCTGTGCAGTTTTACTGGTGACTCTCCTCTGCTGGGAGTACTGAACATTTCTTCATATCCTCAATTATTCTTTTCAGGAAATGTACCCATTCAAGGACATTCCGTCTTATCTGACGGCTGCTTAGTTTTCTTTAAAGTCATTAATGAGGAACTCTGCCAAAAATCTTTTGGCAATCCTGTATTAACTACATTACAGGAAAACATGTGGAAAGAATTCCCTGAAGTTGTAAGGTGAGTGAGAAATGTGACAAATCATTTTTCCTGAAGACCAGTTCTGACAGTTACATAATACCAGGTATGTACCTAGTAAGTTTTTTTTTTTTTTTAAACACATACTACCTTTTTACCTTATTCCCCAAATAAGGCAGGCAACTCGAAAAATCACATTTTCCCTTGAAAACAGAAGATGCAATAGTAGCCTACAGCTACACCTCCGTTAGCTGTACATAGAAGAACCAGCCACAGCAAGCCCAGTTACGTTTTTCAAAGCAGTCATTGTATCTGCTTGAATTTCTTAAGATATTAAGCTTAACAGCCCACAATTTACACCTATAGACATGCAGCTACAGATATTACTATAACATTTTATCCATAATAAACACGCAAACAGGTCTATAATCTTACCGTAATATTTAGATATATTATGCGTCTACTCTGTTCATAAGTGACAAATACTGACTTCACACCAATGTATTCAACGTCAATCGAGCGAGGAAACAAGAAGAACACAGCCAGCCCAGAAAGTAGTAAACATACAATTACAGAAGCAGTCACATAGAGTTTTCTGGAAAAAAAAAAGTGCATTTTGAAGTCAAAAGTGCATTAAACAAGAAAAGTAGTGTGTTATTTTCTTTGTAAGTGATAAGAAGCATAACTAGTCAACATAACTACTTCAGTCTATTTCAATTTTTCACTGCCTTCTGAAGGGGGAGGAAGCTATGCTGCACTTAACAGCTTTATTTGTACCTTAGATGTAACTCTTATACATCATATCAAGAACATATGACTACCCCAATATTCACAACCTAATGAGGAAAAGGGGATTTGGGGGGGGGGGGGGGGGGCTT